GAAGAGAAGAAAACTTAGGTTATGATTTGAGATTTTTTGTGTGGTTCTAAAGGATTTTGTCCTTTTTAACATTCTACTGAATTGAAATGTCCTACAGAAGTTAAAATTTATCTACTTTATCTACTCAAGCAATGACTTTTCTGTTTTTACAAAAGTATATTTTGATTGCATGTCTTCCATAAATCTATGTTGCCTGGCCTTAATTATGTCAGTGTCCTTTAATCAGTGTTGTCTGCTTTAGCCAGTGATTAATATCAAACAGGTTGTGTAGCCACCTGAGTCATCCTGTTTACCATTGTACTTCAAAGATGGCTTTCATACAGTTGTGGATCATCCTTAATATTTCAAAATTTAGAGAAAATCAGCATTAATTTTTTAGTGAACCTGTTAATTTTTTTAAAAACCCAGTTACTGGCACTGACATTAGCTAGCACTAGTAGCTGCCTGTGGAATGTTTTCTTGCTTGTGGAAGGTGAAGTTTTCTCATCTTGATGTAATGTTGCTGTTGAATGGTGGAACACTACTGTTAAATTCCTTCTCCACGTTTATTTAAGGACAACCCATTTCCTTCCACTTAAGACTGCTCATGTTGGATTTCTGTTGTGATCTTTGGTTCTCACATTTTCATCCAGTTTCTACGTTTAAAAGACTCTTTCAGACCTTCAGTAGCAACAGAACTATCTTGAAAGGAAAGGATACTTTTCTTCTTAAACTTCTCTGATCAAAGAGTAGACCATTTAAAAATAAAATAGCTGTGTATAGAAAGGATCAGTGGTATGTATTTTTCAAGGTTTAGCTTTCCAAAGTTAATTAAAAACCTAAGCATGCAGTGGTCCCAAAGCTATAAATTGCAATGACAGTCCAAATCTTTAATTTTTTTTTTTGTCTGCAGAAAAGATTAGATTGTCAGACCTGAATGCAGCCTAGGCTTAACTTAGAATGCCAAGAACCTCTCTCTTGGTAGTCTCTACCCAGAACATCTTGGTGAGACAGATAGTCATGTGCTACTAGCTGAGGGAATTCTGTAATGGAAATGTAGGAATTCAGCATTGCCTGAAAGTCTTAATGCAGGTGCCCATCAGTAATAAATGAACCTTAATTTTATTATGTGAGCTTGAGCAAAGTCTGGAAAATGTGGTAGTTTTGATATTTCAAATCTCTGAAAACAGCTTTTTGGCTAGATATTTATTAGCTAGCTGTATGTTTTACATAGGATACCAGAGGTTATGGGCAAAATGTGCCACAGTAATTGTTGACCTTCAACTGAAACATCTTACACATTTTAACACATAAATCTAGCTAGTAGAATCAAGTTCTGGCTTGTGTCTGTAGCAGATGTTTGAGAGCTTTAATACATTTGTAAAGTACTAAATAGTGAGCTTGAAAAATAATTTAAGAAACAAAGCTTGGTAAAATAGCCATTGTTCCTAAAGTAAGCCAGTGAAATGAGTGTTGCTGATGGCAGCTTCTGCATGTATAATATTACCTGTTAATTGTGAGTGAAAGCCACTTAAAGGCTTCATGTTATTAGATTACAGTTTGTGTCTGTTCATAGGGTGGACTTCTGATTTTCAAAGTATTAAACAGCTGACAAAATAGGGGTTTTCCCCTTGCCAGCCTCCAGGTTGTTGGTGGGGTTGATGTGATTTCTCTTTTCACTCCTGCATGCTGATGGCAAGTTGGTGGCTGGTTGTGGCTGTCAACTCAGGAAAATAGGGTCCCAATTCCATTTTGCCCTAAAAATATGCAGGAAAACCCCAACTGTTTGTAGGGTTGCACTGGCACCTGATCAAGTATTGACCTTATTTGAAGAAAACTTTGGAAAAATGTTCCACTTTGGAGGAGTGGTGGGAAGCACCAGGTAGCTGCCTTGGCCAAGCAGTGGTATTAACTTGGCACTGTTATCAAAATATTGCCTCAGTTTCTTGCTTCAGCTTGAGGCTGCCCATGTAAAATCTGTACTGTGGAGATTCCTGCATGAATAACCTTTGATTTGTAGAAAACCTCAACTCACAAAACTAGCTGTTCAGAAATGGGCTTTTCCCTCATCAAACTATATCAAGGAGGAAATATTAGGTATATGTTATTTTTGTAATTTGCCATCCTTGATTAATAAGGGAGCAGCATTTTAATAAATACCAAAATCAACCTTTCTGTTATTAATACTGAATTTTAAGACCCAGAAAAATGATCTAGATAATAAAGATGTGATAAGTTTACCATTTTGGCTAAGCAAAAAGCGTGAAGTTTGTGACCTGATCATTCATTCCCATCTCTGAATTCCTCATCCTTTTTCTTGCTCCACCCTGACTTTCTCCTCCTGTGCTGCGAGTGCTGCCTTGTCCACTCCAACTTGCCTTTCCAGTTAGTGCAGCTTCTCCTGCACACGAGCCAGGTGTGGTGTGCAGTCACTGGCACAGGCTCCTCTCAGCTTGGTCTCCATGCTCTCCCCTTTTGGCTGCCACTTTGAGAGCCAGCAGAAGCAGCACAGGGTTTCCACTCCCTTTGTTTTATCTGCTCTGATGTGGCTTTAGTGTTTTCCTGTGGTGCACTTGCTGTCTTAGCTTTCCTGAGCCTTTTCCCTGTTCTTTGCCTTCCCTCTCCCAAATCATTGCCCATTTCCAGGGTGTCTCTTGTCCAATATTTTTCTCCCAGACTTGCCTGTAATTTCTTTTTAATGTGTGTTTTATTTCTGGGTAATGTTGCCTGTTCATTTCACCTGTCACATCTGTTCAGATCACATGCATGTCTGGTTTATTCTGTTTCAGAGGGGATGTGTTCAGTACAATTTCATTCACTTACAGTTGTCTTGTTTTCAGTTCACAATTCATACAGTCAGAACTTTTAGGGATGGAGTAACTTAGCTGAGTGCAGTACAGAAGAGGAAGAGTTCACAAAACAAAGTGTGGTGGCCAAAATGAGGGAAAGGGAAAGCCATTCAGCAGCTCACTGGGATGAGACTAGCATTAGAAGTCTAATAGAGAAACATGACAGCATCCTCAATATTTTGGGAAGATAATGCAGAGGCTGAACAGTGGGGCCAAGTGGGTCCAGAACCAGTGAACAGCTTGGTCCTAACTGGGTTTTAGTGCTTTGTCCTCGTATCTGATGTTTTTGTTGTTTAAGCCTGAGTGCCAGCCTTTGTGGCATTACTGATACTAGACTAGCTTTGATGTTAGGAGTTAAAGATCCCAGGTTCCCTGGTGATGCACATGGATTGATCTGAAACTCGCCAGCCCCAGCAGAAGGGTTACAGGCATTGCAGGGATGGAGGGACACCCATCCAATTAAGGCTGCTAGGAATTGTGTTAGAGGCTTCTTTCTGCCCAAGTGTGCATGAGGCTTTACTTGAATTGCCCCACAGTATTTTCTCTTGTGGCTGTTGCATATTGTCTTTGGGTATCTCACCCTATATTCTGATATGCAGGATGGTGAATGGATATAGCTTGAATGTTCTCATGAGCTGTAAGCTCTTCAAAAAGGCAACTCAGATCAGACCAAAATCATCTCAGACTAGGCCTGTGAGAATATCTGGGTATTTTTGTATTAGCTTTTGGTGCAGGTAGTAAGAGTAATTCCATTTAATTGTCTAGAATTATTGTGAAAATAAAACCATTAAGATTTGTATATAATTTACTTTGTGTATGGGATAAAGAAGATACAGCATGTTGTTAAAATACATAAGCCAAACATTAGTTGGTGGGTTTAGACTGCAGGGAGTTTATAAGCATTTGTAATCTTATGCCCAGAGTATTTGGGTGAAATGTGCTCAAGCAATTTTAGCATATTTCATTTTAGCATGCTTTGTCATTTTCTCACTTTGAGAGTCTTGATTTCTTTAATATCATTACTTCTGTGGAATAAATAGAAGGGAAAAAAGCTTCCTTTGTTTAGTTTTGTCTGGCTTTTTTTTTTCAGTAACGCCCTTTCCACCTCTATCTCCCTGGATTTTGTTTTTCATCACCCTTTCATGCAAAGTATGGACAAACTCATGAAGTTCCTTATTTAGTCCCTGGATCTGCTAAGGGATGTGGTTCTGATGCAGCAAAATTCCCTCCCTGGTGCTATGGGTTCTTGAATTCTAATCAACCAGTGTCTGAAGATGATGCTTCAAATTCTTCTTTTTCTTGGGCTTTACCTACAGTGTGTTTGGTTTTTAAAAAACCAACCTATCTTCCTCTGCAGATTTGGATTTGGCTGCTGCTGGAAGGAAAGAGGGGCTGTATTTATTGCATGAAAGGGCACTTCTCCAGAACTGCCTGGGCTGGACTTGGTTCTGTTAGGGAAAAGTTACCTTACCTTAGGCTTGTTCTTTCCCTCCTCTATGGCTTCAGCTGCTCTCATCCATACACTCTGGATATGTAGGAGCTTGACTTGAGCCTTCCTGGTGTCTGCAGGAGTTACCTTGGCTAATAGTAATGAAATCAGCTGGAGTCTGAACTTAGGCATTTCTTTTGCCTAATAAAAGCAAGAATGAAAGAAATACTGTCATTTGCCTGCAGAATGTTGGAGTATTTGGTAGCATTGGATGTACTCAATCTTTAGAAGGCTTATTTTTCAAGAATGAGCAGTGGAAAATTCTTGAATACTCTGCCACTCAGCTGGCAAATCTGTCTTGCTGTAATTCTAGTGGGGTTTTTATCCTCTTGTAATTGTCAGGAAGCAGCAATTCTGTTAATTAAGCATTACTGTTCTTGGAGAAGAGGATTATGCATCAAGTTCTCTGTGTTTGTACAAATTGTTTCCTCAGACACCCTAATCCAGTGTCCTGTTTGAGCTGTTAAAAGAGGGATTTAGGGAAGAAATCTTGATGCAGTTGCTCCTATATTACTAAATCAATCTGTGTTGGAAAGCTGAAATGGATTCCTTAAAAAAAAATTCACTGTAGTCAGTTTTTTCACTTCTTTGCATGACCAGGTGTGCTTTTGTATTTTGAATTAATCTGTGAAGGGTGCTGTACCAATCCAGCTGTTTTCATAATAAATATCTTTATTTTTCAGGTTCACACTTTTTAAAAAAGAGGAATAGAACAGGAAAAAATGGCAGCAGAAACTCAGACACTTAACTTTGGGCCTGAATGGTAAGTTTTGTCTATTTTGTCAGACTCCAGAACTTGTTTAAAAGGACTTTTTTTTTCCTTTGGAGCAGAATTGATTATGAGACTGAATGGGATATAGTACCTTTATTTTGTCCTGTTTTGCCTTAGTCCCTGGCCTGTGATCTAAAGCAATGTTATAAAATTAGTCTTCATTTTGTGAATTGGCATTGTGTAGGAATTGAGTTGGGCTTTTTGTTATGTTAATGCATAATATTTACCTTGCTGCCAAGCATTTGAAGGAGGAATAATGTTTATGATCTCAGAGGTATGCACAGAATAATTGAAGATGTGCTTGTTCAGTCTTTCTGTGTGATGAATGTTAAAAAGGAAATTCCTAAACTCTCCTCACTATACTTGAATCTGTAGCTAAGCAAGCCTTTTCTTTTTCCAGTTTTAAAAAACTTAATCCCTGTATGGAATAAGGGAAAAATGTGGGTTTTGTGTCAGTGTCCTGCACATTTGTATTGAAAAGTGTCAGGAAAAGAGAGCTGTTGGGTTCAAGGCACTCCATGCTGTCATTTAATTTTGTCAGCTGTTAGTTTTACAGCTTGTCTGACATGCATTGTCCTGGCTTTTGTAAAAGAGCAATTGCACAGGTGTGATTATTCAGTATTTGTTCCAATTTCTTGTTAAAGTATTGGTGAGTTCAGTTACAAGCAAGAATTGTGAATGGTGTGGTTTCTGAAGAGTGTTTGATGTCCAAGTGTGTGAATGGGAATGCAGAGTGGTTATAGGAAATAGAATTGCTGCAGAGCATGTGATAGAACTGTTACTTGAATACATTCACTTTTGCTGACACATTTCTATACACAATATACAGAAATTGGAGAGGATTCAGTGAAGAAGTAAGACATGATTTGCAGCCTGTGAAACAATGAGAGCTCAGTCTATTTTGTTAGGATGAAAGAAGGTTAAAGCACGAATTTATCAATATCTATAAATATACCCACCAGGCAGATATCTTGTGCTGGAGTGTTCTTCAGTGTAAGACACAGACATGATTACATTCTTGATGGATGGAAGCCAAAGTTATATTAAAAAAGAGAAGGGGGAAGACAATTCTAAAAAAAGCATATATTTCAACAGTAACTTAATTGCTGTGTCACAGTGAGGGGACTGTCATAGTGAGTCTCCAGTTAGTTTAAAAACTAGATTATGTATGGAAACGTATATTATACTTCAGTGAATTAGTGTATTTTTACAGGAATAAAGGAACATAAGATTTATAATTTTTCTTTTGGCTTGTGGTATAGTCATGACTGTCACATAAGCTGCTGTATCACTTAACAGTGAGACTCTGGGTCACGTTTTGATCTGATTGGTGTTGAACAAAGCACTGAGCCATCAAAGCCTTTAGATAATTCTTCTTCAGGCACAATTTGTTTGGAAGTGGTATGTAGAGGAACTGCCACGCGGTGGCACCAAACTAAAGAAATAACATCAGCTCTTGACTTGCAAATCATTTTTTCCTTTTCTTCAAAGGAAAAGAAAGGACAATAAAACAAATCGAAGCATGTTTCAATAATTAGGTGAAAGGTATTCTCTGAATCACTGTTTTAATTTAGAGCTACTTCCCTGCCAAGGATTTTTTGATTGCTAAGAAGCGCTTTTACTGTTCTACTTGTCTAAGGTGCTCATCAAAGAGAATGTAAGAAAATCAGCAGGGTTTTGTTTCTTTACACACATATCCTTTTGTAAAACATTCCTCAAACTTAAAAATACCAAGGATTTGGGTAGCTGAGGAAGTGGCTGTGTAGAATGAGACTAATTCACCTGCAGAATGGGCATAATGTACAACAGTGAGGTGCTACCTGCAAGAAGTCAAGTAACTTTCCTGTGTGGGATGAGAGCAAATGTATTAGCATATTTATCTGTTACCATTAAGCAGATTTATTAGATTGCTGGTTCAAGTGTCTCTGAGGTAGAGTGTCACTGTATTTTGTACATATCTTTTTATTTTATTTTTTCTTTTATTGATACCCTAAGTTAGATGTTACATGCACTTTCAAAAAATAAAAGCCATTAACTTTAATTTGTGTAAAAGGGATTTATGGCAAGGAAGGATTCCAGAGACACAAGAAGAAACTTCATTATAAAATTTACTGTGCTGTTCTGTTAAACTTGATGAAACATCTGAATAAACTCTTTCCTTAGCTTAATATTTGCTGCACTCTCTAGCACGGTAAGAATTTTTCTTGGCAAAGGGAAGCTGTTGTCATTAAGGTGTCCCACTGATTTGTGTGCAGCCTGTGTGAATAGCTTGGGCAAGGCTTTAGGGGGGTATAGCTGCCTTGCTGTATAGTCAGCATAAGAGTTTTCCTGGGGCAAGTTGAATTCCTTGATGTGCTCATGGGAATTCTTTTATTTCTTGCTCTCCTGGCTGTGGGTGAAACAAGGGAAGTTCTTCCACTCCTCCTATTGAAGCACTGAGAGTTTTGAAGTTCAACTGTTAATGTCTTTACTTTCAGTATTGTATTTATTTTGTGTCAAATCTGTAAAGGTGCAGAGGATGGTAGCACAGGTTTGGATATTCTCAGTTCATGTTTATTGCTTTTCTGCTTCCTCTTAGGCTGCGAGCTCTGTCTAGTGGCGGGAGTGTGACATCCCCTCCTCTGTCTCCGGCCTTGCCCAAGTACAAGCTAGCAGACTATCGCTATGGGAGAGAAGAAATGTTGGCACTTTTTCTAAAGGATAATAAGGTGAGCAGGAAGAGGAAGGTGCCCTTCTGTGTCTATTCCTAATGACAGTCTTGTGATTAGGAGTAGTAGTTTGTATTTTGTGATTATGGACAAAGAAATCACATATCCCTTTCAATCCCAGAGTGAAGAGGGCTGATTGTGGGGATTTTCATGTGTGCACTTGTTTAATTGCACTTTACCAGATTCACTATGTTTTTGGGGTTTTTGTTTGTTTGTATTTTTGTTTGTGTGGGGTTTTTCTTTTTTTTGCTTTTCTTCCACTTTAGGGGTAACTTCCTGTACCCCAGAGAACAAAAAAACCTGATTGCCATATTCAGTCTCACTGCCACAGATGACTGAGGGTTAAAGTCGCCTTGCAGCTGTGCAGATTTGCTTGCCTCAGTAGGATTTTATTTAATGTAGTGCATAATAGTTATTTGATTCAGCTACAAAATCAGGCAATAAATGATATGAGCAGATCATCTGAAAAAAGCAAGAGGTCTCTATCCCATCTTATCAGTTCACTTTAGCAGGTGACTGGCCCAATGAGAGCAGTCCTCAGGTAGCTCCCTTCTCTGGGAATCAGGACACAGAAACTATGGCATGTAATGCATAAGAGCAGTATAGAAAATCAAGAACCTCCTTCTGGTTTCACTTCAAACAAAGATTCTCAGTGATGTAAAAGATGATACAAAATTTCAGAGATCTTTCAGGCAAATGATTAATAAACTTTGCAGTTGTAAACATTGGGTTTTTCTTTAGATGGTGGCAGTAGTTGTTATTGTTTATTGTTACAGCAGACCTGGAGGTCTGAACGCCCCTGAGAGCTTACCCTCGGGGGAGGGAGGGACTGCAAGGAATGATGTCAGGATTATGCTTTGAGCTTGGAATGGAGATGTGCACACACAGCTTCAAGTTCCTGACTTGGCTGTGCTGACATTCTTGTACAACACTGGGAGCCCTGCATTGCTTAAATAATGGATTTAAGGGCGTTGAATGTCAAGGATTTTTCTAAGTCTGTTAAGTATGGTGTAGCTTAAAACCTTGCTTTAACATGCAGAATTGTTCAGTTCTACTTCAGGAAACTGTGATTTAGATCTTGATGTTATGCTTGAATAGGTCAGCCAGTCAGAAGTCACTGTTTTTTGCAGTTTGTGTTTGTTATGTCTGATGATGCTGAGACCTCTGCTCCTGGGGCTGATTCAAACAACCCTCAAATATCCTGTGATACAGGAAGTTCTCTGATTGTTATGAATGGTCCAAAAGAATATTATCTTATGTGTTTGCCAGAAGGGCATTATGATTAGAGTATGTCTTTCTTTTGCTATGCACATGTTTCCAGGGTGTTGAGTGATTCTAGGTATGAAGACTGAAAGGACTCCTGACAGTGGTTCAGGTCAGCTAGTGGATGTCAGAAATGTTTTTAAGCTGTTGAATTTCTAATTAAAAGAGAGACTGACTGAAAGCAGGAAGACTTCTGCTGGCACATATCTAAAAGAAAAAAAAAGTCTTTAGTGTTATGAACTAAATATTTTTGGGGCAGTTGTCCATTGGCATAATTGGAGCTCAGTTGCTGTATGTAATTGGTGGTTCTTGTCCACATTCTCAAGGTTACAACTATTGATGGAGCTTCTGATTCAAAATTAATGTTAACATGTATTTTGATTTAAGTCATTAGTGTTCTCTAGTTAATCTATACATATAGTTCATTGTACTTGGCTTTTTTGTATGTTTTTTTGGTTGGTTTGGGTTTAGTCTTGTTTGAATTTTTTGGGTTTTTTTTTTTTTTTTTTTTTTTTTACTTTCCTCATTGGTTATAAATTTGAGTTGCTTATTTCAAATTAAATGCAACCTCTGTGCTGTAGGTGGCAGTTTTGTTAATTAAAAATCTGGCTATAAAAATGTATTGAAGTTAAAAGCAGTAGATGAAATGTCACTTGATTCAGATTTCAGCTGCAGTGGTGTGGAAGTTTGAGTTCTGATGTCTGTGGTCTTGTGGGTGGGTGATGCTTTGGGTGCCTTGTTTGTAAGAACTTTTTTTCTGAGGGTTGTAAATTTGCAGCAGAGTTATACTCACCCCCAGTAAGAGTTACTGGAAGTACTGGATAAATGGAGACAGAGTTGGAAGAATAAAAATTGTGAATCAGTGTGTGTGCCATCATCCCTGAAGTAGAAATACTTGCATGTAGTAGAATGCTCTTTTTCTTTCTTACAGATACCTTCAGACCTTCTGGATAAGGAATTTTTGCCTATTTTACAAGAGGAGCCCCTGCCACCACTGGCACTTGTACCTTTTACAGAAGAAGAACAGGTGTGTACCTTTTATTTTTAATCTTTAGATTTTTATTAGTGTAAAGACATAATAAAGAGTATGCTTCCATTAAGAAAAACATTGAAATTTGAAATTAAGACATCTCACATCTTCACTAGTTTGAAAGCAAACCAGCAGGAGATTCCAAGTCAGAAGTACAGTTCAATAGGAAAATTAAAATAAAGGCAGTAATACAGAAACTCTGATATAAACTGAGAGTCAGGATACAGCCTGACACCCTGTTGGTCAGGGTGGTGGCAGCAGTCTGATTAAATGGTGGCTGCAGTCCTGTGGGAGTGATGGATGTGGTTTTGTCAGAGCAATGATCCTGTGGAAAGATCCAGTCCTTCTCTGGAGGTCCAGTGGTGCTTATTGAGCTCTTGTCCTCTGGGAATGCAGTGGTGGTGCTCTCCTGGTGTTCCAAGCCTCAGATTATACAAAGGAAGGAATGTTTGGGTCCTCCCCCTGGGTGGGGCACCTCACAGTGGGATGAGGTAATTCTGTGAGTCACAGGGTTTATGGGAGACCTCGAAGGCCCTTTAGTGGCTATTGTCCCCTGGAGGGAGTTAGCAGGGATGAGTCACAGAGGAGATGAAGAACACTCCCTCACCTGTTTTAACAGCTTATGAAGATGGTAATAGAATACATACCTTTGGTTGCACCTTTTCATTTTAACCTAGGACACAGAGAAAGAAGTTATGAAACCATACTGTGTCAGCATAAAGTTTAAATTCTATCCATGCTCAATTATTGTCTTAAATTGGAAAAAATGGTTTTTATCCAATGTTCTGTTGAAGGTAGACAGGTTGTTAAATCAGGACCACCATCTGGGAAGCGTTACCTATTTTTTAAGTATGCATCATTTTCGGATCAGTGACATTTTCTTCAGTTTTTTACCATCTTCTCTTTGGTAACCAGAGAATCACAAAAGTGGCTATGTTCTGTAGCCTCTGTTTTGTGTTCTTTAGAGAAATACTGAAGTTTTTTGACTGTTAACATTTATTCAGAAGATGCAGTAGTGTTAACTGCTCTGTATATAAGCAGTTTCTTTTCATCTCCTCCTTTGATGTATCTATAGGTGTATATAACCACATAGAGATGCATGAGAGTGAGAACAGGTCCATAAGGATTCCATTTAAGGGATGACTGATCTGGGTAGTTTGAAATCTCTTGCTTTAAATTTGATTCTTAATGGAGAAAACCACTCATCTTCTCTGGATAAGTGCCTCTGACTTTTGACTCTGGACTATTTCCTCTTTCTGGCTCTCAGAACTTTTGATTTTGCAGTTTCTCTCTGATTTGTCATGTTTCTTAGCACTTCTCCTACTTCATAATACTGTGGTTTGGATTTTTGTTTCTTTTGCAATAGAAGCTGAGTATTTTTACTGGCTTGAGTGATTTGATTTTTGCAGGGGTGGGTAGTGTTACTATTAGTTTCTTAAGATATCAGAGCATCCTTCTTCCTTTGCCTGCCCCAGGCTGTTGTGTTCTTGAATTTTTCATTCCATTTTGTGCCTGGGTATTTTGGCATATCCTCTTCATCTCTTCCAGACTTCCTTCCTCTTCAGAGCTGGTCCATATTTCTTGTGTGTCTGTAGGATGCTGGCATTTCACACAAGATACTGATGGTTTAGGTTTTAATCAGCAGTTGGATTTGAGTTCATGTGGGTACACTGTAAGCACTTCATGTCATAGTCTTCAAAGGCAACTGAGATTGAGGCTGTGCTTTTGTGGGAAGGCTTAGCTTAGCTCCTGTTCTTGAGTAGGGGGAGAAGGAGCAAGCCCCAGACATGGTCAGCCAGACATACAGTAGCACACCTGAATGTTGAACCTTTGTGTAAATGTCTTGGGGTTTATTCTTTGGCTGATGCATGGTGGAGTCCCTCAGGGAGGACTTGCAGGCCTCTTGCGGTTTAAGGGGATGCTGACTCCTGGTGTTTGTCAGGATACTCTCAGCAAGGAGTGACACGAGTTGAAGGCTATGGTATCAAAGTGTGCAGAGTACAGATGAGGTGGGAAGTGCTGCTGAGCTTCAGGGATGGATGTGCTCCTCTGCTGCAGTGCCTAGTGTTTCAGCAGTCTTGAAAACTCCTGAGGAGTTGGTGTATGCTGTGGCACTGCTTTTCCCTCCTCCTCTTCACCTGTAATCATACAGGAGCCTTTAAACAGTTTAACAATTCTCTAAAGTCTCCATAGAAATCATCATCTGGAAGAAGAGGTCCATATTCCCTTTTTAAGAAAGCTTTTCCTTTAATGCTTTCTGGGGACCCAGAGGATATCAACAATCTGGTTTTTCATGCCCTTTTTTTCCTGTCTTCATGATTGATTTGAGGTAGCAAGGGAATGGCATTTTTTAAGTTAGAAATTCTGCTGTTTGTTCCCCATGACATAGCATTGTTTAGCATTAAGAATCATCTTCAGAAGTGATTTTGAGGTGAATATTAATGGCTTTACCGCTAGTGGTGATGCAGGAAAGTTCTTACAATTAAGATTGACAAAAGAGAGTTTAAAAGACCTTTTTACCCCTCTAGGAATACTGAGGATAGAATTGTTGTCTCAGAACTTGAGAGGCAGGGCTTTGGGAGTCCTTAGAGGAGAGGCTGATCAGAGCACTGGTACTTTAGTGCAGTGTTCAGTTGCAGCTGAGCCTGTCAGGATTACTTTGGCCTTAGATTCAGAACAATTCCTGCTGTGTTGTGCACCTGATGGCACTGCAGTTTTCTGTTTACTATGGGAAGAACTTGTCTCAAACTGAATTACAGGTGTATTATCTAGGGATGGTGACAGATCATGTCAGCTATATTGATTTGAGCTTAAATGTATTTAGTTTTGTAGTATTTAATTGGATACTTAAGGCTACAGCGTTCCCTGTAATAGGACAGTGACATACTTTGGATGGAATTGCTGGTTCTTTTTATGTAAAATGTTACTTTTCTGAAGATAAAGTTGTTGAGCTAACCTAGAGTTCAACTGATTCACTTACTGTAATGAAATACAATATATTTGCAATCACAGATTTGTCTAAGATGTGTTTCCAAGGTAGTGTCTGTTGAAGCAAAGGAGCTTTCTGCAGCTGGCTTTAACAGAGCTTCCCACCATAGAGCACTGGCAGTGTCCAGCCGATGTTCCTTTGCCTTTCCCACTGCTCCTGTTTTTCCTATTTGCATTAGGGGAGAATTTGGTTGTCTTAATCTTACCTGCTTTCATAGTAAGGAAGGCTCAAACTCTTGCTGACCATAATGGAGATCCTTTTGTGTCCTCCCTGGTTATTTTCCTGACATCTGTTTCCTAAGACATCTTCATTTGCTACTAAAGCTGTATTTTGGCAGCTTTGTTCTTCAGTCTGCATTGGTCATTGAGGAATACCCTGATCAATAGTAGGGCAATTTTTGCTTTTTTGACTTTGCTTTTTGACTTCTTACTGTGATCTTATCATGTGGGGTGTTACCACTATGCCTTCACTGCAGCAAGGCTCTACAGAGGGGAGGGAGAAGTTGCTCAGAGTTCAGGCAGACAAGTCAATTTAAAAATGAGATCATTATTTTGTTCTTACAGGAAGAATAAGGCATAAAAAAAAGAAGAATCTCCTATGCAAGACAATGATTCTGATAAATAAATTAAATATGTTTTTTTTAGTGAAATGTTTCAGCGCTTCACAAAAAAGCAGAAGTATCAGCACCCAGAAAGGTGGTGGTTTGCTCAGAGGCAGATGGAGGTGGTTCCTTTTCACTTGCAGTTGAAATGGTTGCTTTAAACTTTAAGAGCTAGCTCAGAAAACAGATTCGCTGGAGGCCGACCTTGCTTTCTTGCCATGCATGACTGCATTTTTTCTTTCCTCTCAAGTCTAATTAGTTACCAATTCTTTCTTGAAGGAAGATCTACTTTTTTAGGGAGCACATATCAAGCAGTTTTTGAAATGTTTCTGTAATGTATTAAATCTCCTGTTGGCTTTGATGTTAGTGATTTAGATTTTAAATAGTATATAATCACTTGTCTCATTGTTCTCTGAAGACCTTCAAAGTCCTAGTGATTCACATGAGTTGATGTAAGCACCTTGCTGGCTCCATGTTCCTTTCAAGAAGCCTGATATAACAGCTGTTTGGAGTCCTTTGCATTCTAATTATTTAAAACTTGCATTCAGAAAGTGTGTGTCAGTTCAGGTTTACTTGTTAATGTTTCTGTACATGGTTCTGAATTCTTTGGCCCAGTTTTCCAAGTATTTGTGCTCAGAGAATAGGGTCAGAGTTGGTTATATTTATCCATTCTTTATTGAAATAGTTTTTTCTTTTAGCAGTTTTCATATTAAGCTAAAGTTGAATTTTACTAGTGTTTATTTTCTTATGAAAATGAGTATCACTGAAGTTTCAGAAGCCCTAAGTACACTTAGTTTTTCCTAAAATATGTTACTCTTGTGATATTTAGAGAATAAAAAGGCTTATTTCTGCAAAGGGCATTGGTAAATATAACTTTATTCAAGTTCTCTTGGTCTTTACATGTTCCTGCTTTACTTCAGTAAGTTTAGAATTGGTATTAATTATTGGTGTCAGGTATAGGCAGATGCCAGTCTCTTTTTGCAGCAGAATGTGTATTTAAAACTGCTGATGTTCTAATGGCCTCTGGTATCACCTGCAAAAGGAGTAGCTGTTCAAATGCTTACTTCAGAGCATAGAAATCTCAGCTAAGTAACTTGGAAATGGTAATATTGACCAAGATCCTTTTATAGACTGCTTCAGCTGCTCACATGTGCATTTTCCTTTCCAGTATTAATTGTAGAGAATTTGTAATAAAAACAAATCCAGATTTAAGATAACGGTAAATGTTTGTTTTTCCTTTTTGTTTTGCTTGGTTTTTATTGTTTATTTGTGTATCTGTGGATTCTCTGTGAAGGTTTTTCCAGTCAAATCTGACAGTGACTCTTTCTTTTTGGCAGAGAAATTTCTCCATGTCTGTAAACAGTGCTGCTGTCCTGCGGTTGACGGGACGTGGAGGAGGAACGGTGGTGGGGGCTCCTCGAGGTCGAAGTTCCTCTAGAGGTCGAGGTGAGCTGCCTGTGGGATGTGCTGCAGTGGATCCAGGGGATCCAAGCTGCTCAGAGACACTAAGTGGAGCTTGGATAGAGCTATGTGTTCTTTTTGCTTAAAGCTTTGAAACCTTTCCAACAAGGTGGTGCTGGAGAATGAATATTGGGTTTAGTGATGATTCTGCACATCTTAGCACACAACTGGTATCTCTGTTATATGCCTTTGCCAGGTTGATGGGTGGGAAACCAAAAGGGAAAGGTAGTTTTGGGGTGGAATATGAAATTCTTTGAAATAACTTTATTAAAAGCATAAAACCAATTCATAGGGAGAGGGTAGGAAAAATATATGAATGTACTTAAAACATCATGGTTGTAGTAGGTTGGGTTCAGTATTCTGAAAAGCCATCTTCATTTGTTAACATCCTGAGTGTAAACAGTTAATGGGAAGTTGTAATTGAATTTGGGAGACATTTGAGTCGTTCTAGTTGCAGCTGCATCGCTGCAGCTGTCTCATCCAGGATCACCTGAAACATTTGCAAATGAATGGAGAAAATGTCCTGAGGCCATATTGCTAAAGTCAAACCAAATAGTTAAACCCATAATTTATCTTAGCAATTCCTTTTCAATGTGTGCACTTCTGTGAACTCTTTTTGGGGGGCTTCCTATATAAATAGGATGGGCTGCATTTAGAATACTAGGAAGCTAGTAACTTGGAAATACTGAGTAAATAATCTTGTAACCTCTGTCTTTGCAGGTGCTTAGGTGAGATTTCTCTTAGAGCCCTTTTTAATTTAATTTTACATGCCCTTAACGGGTGGTATTTTCAATAAGATCTTCAGAAAGTACTTCATATATAATTTGGTGCTTCACAGAGTTTTGCCTTTACTTAATGCATTCTCTCATTTCTGCTCTCATTCCTTAATCCTGCTTTCTTTTTAGTTTACATCTCTCAGATATTTGTAGATGGTTTTCTGTCTTCTTGTGGTTTGCTGTTGCTTCCCAGCTAAGATATGAATTTAAAGCTTTATGAGACTATCACTAGATTTTCCTGTTGCTTCCCCTTCATTTGCCATTGTAGTTGCACAAATGCTCAGGGTTTCATTTAAAAAAAAAGTGTGCATATATATATAGATGTGTGTACTAATTTGGGAGTTGTTGCTTTTCTGTTTTATTTTAATGTGTGTGTTTCTATCACCTATGTTTCAGTTTTGCTAGGAATACATATTGACTGGTTTCTTTAGATGCATCAAGACATAATTCTGCAAATTAAATTATTGCTGCTTAAAATTTGATAATTTGAGATCATACATCCACTAGTGTGCTCTCTAGTTTCAATATCAACATACTGTGACCATTTGTAATTTGGGAAACCCTTTATTTTGCTTTTCTTTTGTCAAATTTCCCTGTTTTCTTGCTGCACTATTAACAATGTCATCCTTATGCAGTGAGCAGTGGTTGTTTTTTCATTGCCCCCACTAGTTGCAATGAGATTGTAAGGCTAAATGTGGCAGAATATGGCTTCTAATCCAGTAATTCTATTAATGATTCTACTCATATGCATGACTGCTTTGTTTGGCAGTAAAGTTTGTTTCCTTATGTTTTAGTGGACAGAACTTAAAATGTATGCAGTATTAAGACTTTGAAAGCTGTTTGAAAGCTGCTGCATGTATTCCTGATTTCCCATAGTTCATTTTTAAGATTTGTTAAGAAATACTAGCAAGAACTTTGTTGCAAAATTAATAATTTTCACTTTCTTTTTTGTTTATCCTAGTTTGATCTTTTAAGGTGTTGGAATTATTATATGGTGTGCTTGTGAGGCTGCTCTGTTTAAGCTGTAGAGGACATACTTCTGCAGTAAATTTCTTCAGCTTTCTGAGCTTTCCTTCTTTCATTGATCCTGGTTGCTGCTTGTTTCTTCCACTCTTCCCTTCTTCCCATGAGCAATTGCTCTTGCATTCTAGGCATGATGAGTTTTCCCAAAGTTTTATATCACAGCAAAGAAATTAAGGCTTCTGCCAGGAGAAAATGGTACCATTTTCATAATTATACAGATGATGCTCTTGTAGCCAAGGACTTCAAGTTATTGATGAAAATTCAATAGAGGACTGTTGATATTTACAGAAATGTTGCTTGCAAGTAGCAGGGTTTAAATGCAATTTTGTTTTTTCAGGTTACAGTGAAAAGGACTTGAAATTTCTTGGGAGTTTTTTCACTAAATGAGCTGCCTCAACAGTTGGAAAACATTCTTATTGCACTGCAAAATTGCCTGGGTTCAAAAGGTTTTCTGGTGTTTTCCATGAACTTTACACAGTTGTATGCAGCAAAGCTGCTGCTGAGTCAGTGCAGGCTTCAGCTTTACCAAAATGAGATTTCTGTCTTGAAGGGACTTGCACCACAGCAGCTTTATAGAGGAATTTGCATGTGTGATTAGATTTGTTAATGAAGTTCCCTGACTGAGGCACAAATGACAGAATTGTGTTCCAGCATTTGAGAGCACGAGAAGCAATCTGTGCTGGGTTGGCAAGGGAAGGAAATGCTGGTAAAGGAGTGATATGGGTAGAACTCTAAATGGGATTCACTTACCAGTATTTAGAACTGCAAGGTAACACTCAGTAAATATTCTCTGGGTGGTCACCCCAACTTTTACTGAAAATCCTTATGTTGTGATGATGAGAATGTGGTTACTATGTGGAAATTGCTTTGATTTTTGGTTTGTTGGTTTATTTTTTTTTAAATGAAGTTGTCGTCTCTGAAGAAACCAAGCGCTTGCACGTGACTCTTTTCTAATTGACTTGTTTTCCTGGTAGCTCCCTGTGGTGTGCAGTTAAGCCCTGTGCTTTGTGCTGGCAGGACTGGAATGTCAACATTCATGAATAAGAGCCTTGGATGAGGAGAGATTTAAATAGTCCCTGGAATGGGCTGTAAGCTTACAGACACTTTTGTTTGGTAGCTGTTCTCCCTTCTGGTTAAGGCTGTTATGAAGGGTCCTTTGCTTCCTATTAGAGCTCTTTCCCCACCCACCCTCTGTGCCCTTTGTAATGTGTTTTTGCAGCTGTTGGAAAGTGTGTCAATGGTGTGAAAGTGTAATGTTTGCATATCTAAACAGCAGCAGTTGAGCTACAGTTATTCTGTTTTTCCCAAACAGTATTATGACTGTGACTGTAGATCCTAAACTCCATTTATGCTGTAATTTCAAGAATTTGCTTCTTGTGTTCCATAAGGCTTTAGGTTTCTTTCTAATGAGAATTATAATGACAGTTTGTGCTCGTGTCTTATATTTTTACTTAAATTCAAACTTGTCTATTTTTCAGGTTAGAGACTTAGCTGTTATGATTGCAGTGTCCAGTGGATTGATGTCCTCATCCTGAGGTTTTTGGGAAATTACTGAAATACAAATGATCTATTTGCTCCACTCTGTTATTAAATGGAAGGGTTTATTGACATTTATTGACTTTGCATTCACTACTTTGTGCAACATATGCACTTAATCTGCTGCTTGTGTGCCAGGTATTTTTTTCAGAAGAGGCATTCTGTTTAAACTAAGCCAAGGAGTGCAGAAGCAGAAGGTCAGGTGGTGTGCTTACATGTGCAGTTTTATCCTCTGTGCAGGCATTTCTCGTGCATTCTGTAACCAGCATTAGCTGTGCCCCAGTGTGCACTTTCAGGTCAGACTCACCCACATGGTACTTGCTGAATGACTGACTTTGCACACCACAGTTTCCCTTGAGTGGCTGCTTCTCTTCTGTAGCTTGGTAGGATCTGTTTGATGCTTCCCACACTGTGCTCTGCTTGGTGGCTGCTGGGGCTGCACATGTGCTTCTGCTTGCCACTCTTGGATGGGCCCATGTTGTTTCTACACATGGATGGGGTGGCAGCACAGCCAGGGCAAATGTGCTTCAGTAGCCCTGTCCAGTATTATGTGCTATCACTGCAGCTGGCAGCTGAGTGCTGTGACCCCACAGGCAGCCTTAACCTGAATGCCTAAGGTCAATAGCTTGGACATTTTGCAAGGCTATCTTTTAATTCAGACCATTTTGGTGGCTGAGCACAACTGAAATACTGATGGACCACCATGCAGGGGTGGTGAGTGGGGGGAGGTTTCTCAGGCTGTGATTTCCCATACTTTTAAATGGCCATCAGCATTGCTGCTGGGAAAACAACTAATTCTTGCTCTTGTACAGGACACTTGCTTTATTTGCTGGTGAAATGCCCTGTATCACCCAGGCTCTGGCTCTGGTGGTGTGTGGTGTGGCTGCTCCCAGTGTGCAGCATGCACTCACCCTTGCAAGAGGAGCACTGCAGTGCTGCTGCTGCTCACTGTACAAGCCTGCTTTGTTTTTGTTGGGAAAGTGTATGTAACTTCCCACCTCTGCTACCTCAGAGACAGGAGATGAGTCAGTGCCTTTGTTCTGTTTTGATTCTATGAACTGCTTTTGCTTATTATCTCTTGTGAGAGGAAGGAAGACAGCTTTCCTGTAGTGAAGAAATTAGGCATAGATTACTATTGGGTAAGCTGCTGAAACTTTCCTGGCTTTTATTTGTAAAGAATAAAAACTTTGAGTCCTTTTCTGGGGTTTTAGAGTACCCATAATGGTTTAACTGGATAAACATCATGCTGGTTTTGATGCTCTATCACCTCTTCCTTTTTCTTGCCTTTGCAGCTTGTTTTACTGTAGTCAACCTTGTTGTATCAGACATGCCCTAGTGAAGGTGTTTCTAATAACTCTCTTAGGTCTGATGCTAATTTCTCCTCTCTCACCTTGAGTGCTCAGTCAGCTCCTCTGCCTGCCCCTGTGTAAAAACAGCTATGCTGAATATGGCATGGGCTTGCTCAATTCCAAGGTGACCATAGTCTAGCAGAGCTAAAAGAAGGCATCTTGGCAAGAGAGTAAGGACTGAGAAAAGCACAAAAGTGAAGAGGCTCAGCTGCCAGATGTTTGCAGCTCAGCATATTTCCTGAACTTGAAGATGTGGCCTCCATTAATGAATTTTATCTTTTTTGAGTTTGTCCAGTCTTCATCTGAACTTAGGCATCCCCAAAACTCTCTGGTAAGGAAGGCTGCATCTCTGTGATTCTGGGAGATCTGTCACTGATCAACTTTGCTGGTGATAGAACAGGATAGTTTGTCTGAAGGGAATGTTAAAATTGTTCCTTATGCACCCTGCAACCTATTCTGCTTCATACAAAAGCAGTTTTGTATTTAAAGACCCCAACTAGATTATCCATGGATCACTTTCTTTGTCTTTGCCTGAAAAGCAACTTTTTGCCCTTTTCATCTACCACCCCTTCTAAGAGATTTGGTTTAGAATAGTAGAGAAACTGTTGCAACTGTTTTGATTATTTTAAATTTCTGTGGTCATAAGATACTGAAACATGGTATGATTCCTTGATATATCCAGATGTCCTTAGATTTTAAATGTAGAGGCTTTTAATGACTTTCTTCAGAAGACTGCAAGAACTGCAGTCCATTCTGAAGGTGTTTGTTTCCTGTTTCATTTGGTCATTCTGTCTTCTGTGGATCACTGGCCAGGTTTGCACCTCGTACTTTGAGATGTTTTCTTCCTTGAAGCCGGGAAGAGAGAAATATGAAAAGATAGATGTTTGAGGTACTTACCCAGCCAAGAATTCCTGTTACCAGGTGCTTTTTAGGTTTTAAGCTTGACTGTAGAGTCTACATGTGTATGTAGGCAAGGCATTTTCCTGACAGCGAGCTGAGAGGTGTTCCACTTGTTCATCTTCCTTCCATGAGGTCTTGAAATGGTAAAGTAGTTGGTTAGAAATCTGCCATTTCTTCTGCTGGAGCACTGTGTGAAGCTGTGTTTGTCTTTTGTAGATCTAGAAACTTCACTCTATCCGTTAATCTAAGCAGTGCTGGAAGTTATTTTGACGAGCTGGGGCTGTATGTGGGTGTTGTTTTCCTGTTGTGTAGGGCTTGTTTTCTTTTACCCAAACACCCCATGCCTTTTCAAGCCCTCAAGATGTGCTTTGAGATGCTTTGCTTGAGGCTTGGTACTTGGTAACTGCCTATAGAGAACCATTTACTGAGAAGGTCAGTAGGATAATTTCAAAGCTATAGCTAATATTCTCCTCCATTCTGACCTGCCTATAACCAACCATCCTGTGATCCTTCTTTTCTTCCCACTGATCCTGGGGGAGATTTTTGCTGGCAGTCACTAGAACTTAATAGCTTCCTTCTCCTTTATGACCCTTGACAGCAATAATTAGGAGTACATCCACAGTGCAGTGCCATTTTACTGGAGTTTGCTTTTAAAAGTAATCTGATTTTTATGTGTGAAGCACACGTGTGCAATGTGGATGTTGTGTGAACAATGCATACTTACTTGGTAATTTCTCTTGGGGTAAGTATTTGTGTTTTTCTGCATCGTATTTATTTCAGAATTGTTTGCCTGTTCTGTCTGGTCTTGCACTTCTTAATAAGAATTTTTGGATAAGACTCTTTCTTCAGTCATTGTTCCTTTTTCCTTTTGTCCCAGATAATTTCACTGGGGCTTAAGACTGCAAGATTGGTTCTCAGAGACACCAGGAAAGGGAACCCTACCTGATTCTTTCAACTTCTATTATTATTTATTACAAACACTTGTGTTTTTTGTCTTTTCAGGCAGAGGCCGAGGAGAAAGCGGTTTCTACCAAAGAAGTTTTGATGAAGTGGAGGGTGGATTTGGGCGAGGAGGGGGCAGGGAAATGCACAGATCACAGAGTTGGGAGGAAAGGTAACAGAACTCTAGCACTTAAAGCTTTTTACACACATCTGTTCAGCTTCCATTTGTGCCTTTTGACTTCATAAAAACACTTTAGGAAAGGTAATTAGTTTTATCTGTGAGTGAAGTGTCTGAATTTCTAAGATGGAGTCAAACACAGTAATGTTTCTTGAGGCTCTGGAGAAAGTAAAAGAATATTTCTTGCAAAGATTTTTTTCTGCTGAGTTCCTGGGAAGAAGGAGCTAACTACTTTAAGAGAACATAAATTACAACAGTTGCAATTGAAGTGCTGGTGCTAAGGATTTGCTTCAGTTTTAGTCTTGACATTGTTCACAGTACTTAGGGGCACATTTGAAAACATACCCAGTTCCCAAGGGCCGTGTGTGTATTGGTGTTCCTGAAAATTTCAGTTGTCACTTGGACCTCTAAAGGTAATGTCCATCAAGCTCTGATTTTAAAAAAGTTCCCACCAAGTGAAGAAAACCAGCAAAACCTATACCTAAAATGAGTTTTTGGAGTAGTTCCAAAACCTTACTTGAAACTTCTATTCTGCCTTTCTAGGGGAGACAGACGCTTTGAAAAACCAGGGCGAAAAGATCCAGGTATGGTTTTGTTACTGTGTGGGCAGAAAATGGGAGGGAGGAGCAGGGTGTGTTTGGGGGAAGGGATTTGTACATGTATCAGCCTTTCTTACTGCTCCAAGTATATTGTTGATGCAAGATTCATGATACTGTGCCAGGTTGCTAAGTGTGTTCTCAAAGTGTTGTTTCTCTTACTTTGTGTTGTTCTCACTATTGGACATTTAAGTGTGGTAGATAAGAAGCATGTGGAGTAAGTAGGTTGTGTTTATTTAATTAAGTTGTGATGTTTACAACTGGAAGGAAGTTCCTGTACCTCTGTGACAGAAGCCTTTGCTGATGGGCAGGCGTGCTCTGGTAATACGCCTTTTTCAGTGCAGCTTTAAACATTCCTGGTGAGGGCTATTTTGGTACCCAGGATTTCTTGATCATTTGACCTTTAATTTTTTTTGAATGCTTGATAGTGTGAGAGAGATCCCAGCATTGTCCTGAGGTTCCTGTGCTGATGGATTTACTGTTGATCAATTTAGTTAAGTCATCATCTGAACCTCCTGTTCAGTCTGGTTATGTGCTGTTCTGTCTCTTGTTCCTCCCCTGTTCTGTTTCTGAAATCCTTCACACTGGCTATGTTCTGGCAGAATGCTGGATTCTTAATTGTGGCCCAGTACATCTGAAGATCCAGCTGAACTTGACTTGGAATGGGTTTGTCATCTTGGAGATGAAACCTAGGTATTCGAAGGGTGGTGGGAACATCAGGGCAGCTCTGGCTACCTGATAACTGCAGTGACTTTTGCTGTGCAGGCTCATGTGCTGCTTGTTCTCTGGTGTGCCTCTTCTCTTTCTCCTATGCCTGTGTCTTCTCTATTTAGGATCCAAGGAATCTTTGGCTTTGCTAAATGAGTCTTGGCTACATACCCTCCTTGGCAATATGCTGAGAAAGCATAAATTAGAACAGATATTTGCAGGTTGAATTTAAAGACAAACCCAAGGAGATCCAGTTGTAATTAGAAGTTGATAGGAATGTGTTTTAATGCCTGCATAGCTGTTGGTATTTTTGTAGTGAGAGGAGCATAAATTGCCATATTTATAATTTTCAGGATTACCATGGTGACACATGCCATAGGAGTTTGCTTTCAAAGCTCTTCCAGTCCTCCCTCCATATAGGAAAGAGTGCTTTTATTTTTCTGCTTGTTAAGTTGAATGTCAACACAAAATTAAGATGTGTATGTTTTCCTCATTGTCTCCTTTAAAAAGAGGATACTTCTGGAAAATAATTTGATATTGGTCAGAGATTGACCAGTTTTAAATGTTAGCAGTGAAACTCGGGACTTTCCATGTATCTATATATTCACGAATTTTTTTGGAGAAAATGAAAATGGGGGAAAGTAAGTACTACTGAGATTTCAGGACTGCATTTTTTTCAAAAGAAAAATGGATGTCAAAGTCATATCTACCGCAGTTGATTTATTTATTTAGCTTCTTGTTGTTGTGATTAGAAATATAGCAATTCCAGTTCCAGGATATAGAATGTACCATGTTTCTGATAAAGAAGGATGAAAGTATTGCATATTAGTATAGGAGCAGATTTCAGTATTTCTCAGTTGAAATTGAGGAGAATTTACAGTGTGCAAAATGTCCTTAGAGAAGTTGATGTCTGCCAGAGGTTAATCTGCAGCTAGTGTAGAGCATTTTGTGTTTGTAGCAGCTGCTAGTGATGAGGGCTCTGTTGAATGTGTCTTCCAAGAACTGTTCCCTGGGGAAGATGGTGTCCCTGGTGCAATTTGTTGGAAGCTCATTGTGAGCAATGATGTGCTTATTCTCAAATTATGAAACTTTTAGAGTACCTAATTGCTCTTCTTTAGTCTCTTGTATTTCTCTGCCAGTCAGTATGAGAGCCAAAGACCTTCAATCTGTCTGAAGTTTTATTATAAAAATACTGTTTTAAAAACAGTATTGCTATGTTAGAGGTTAATGTTGCAGTAAGTGAGAAGACTATTTCTGTCCCCTTCACTTCCAAAGAGAGATAAGGTGGAGAGCACAGAAATATTGACAGAAAGTGTTGGTCTGTTCTGACTCAAGCCTTGGTTAATTATAAGTAGTTATTGTTATGTAATGGCTTTCCAATGACAAAATATTTTGAGTATGAGAGAGGGTACAGATGTGCCAAAAGAAGTCCCAGGTTAATAGCAAGCACTAGTATCCACACAAACTGTGGAAGCAGAAAGAAAAGGAATTGACATACAGGTTATAATTCAGGCTCACAGGCTTTAGCAAATGCCTGTACTGGTTTCTGATACCTTGGTTCAACTCCTTAGTTGAGATTTTATTCTGTAATTTTACCGTGTGTTTCAGTTTTTCCTGGCTGTTTCATAGAGCCTTGGATTCAGATTACATAATTTACTGAGTTGCCAACTTTTTCATGTTCTTTGTTCTGGAAGATCCCATTAGAGAATTATTAAGAAATCAAATATTTAATCACTTCTGGGTATTTGTAATGGAGGACAATGCAAGATCCCTCAATAAAAAATTGAGATTAAAAAAGTAATAGAAATTTAACAAATACTTATTTCTCAAATATGATCAGTATGCTGTTCTTAAAATTAATGATTGCTTTTTCAGTGCTCACAGTTTGTGAGGTCACATTTGACTGATTCTCATTATAAACCATATCTGTTCCTGGTTTCAGCATGCAGATTGAAGATGCACAAAGTATTTTTAAGTTTGTTGCAGATTGTCACAGTTCTGACAGACTTCACTTAGAACCCAGATTGTATTTGGAAGGCTGAGGCCATTAGCAAAGAAAATGAGCAAGTTGCTTTCTCGAGCATGTCTGTCTCTTCACAAAAGCTGCTTAATTTTCTGTGCAGCCTCCTGACTAATACCAGCTTAGTAGCTGAAGGGATTTGATTAGTTACCAGCAGTTAGAAACTGGTAGTGAATAATTGTTCTGTAGTTTAAACAAATCTGCTAGTAAGTCAGTTGTGGAACCTGGTTGAGTTCTGCTCTATGTGTGGGTTTTGGTTAGGTTCAGAAGACTTGCATATAAAAGGTGTGTTCAAGTGGCTATAAAAAGGATGTTGAATTTCTTTGAATCATACTTTCCCTCTCTCTGCCATGTCTTGCTGGCAGGAGTTGCGTTCACAGAAGGTTCATCACTGGTTTGCTCTTGCTGTACCAAAGCATGGAGTGCTATCTTGGTGCATCAGAGCCCATCAGCATTTTTCCTAGGTTTCTACTCCAATTTGGGCCATGGCATCTTTCCAGTACTTTCAGAGATCCATGATTCACCAGTTCTCTGGAACTGTAAAAGCAATATTAATGTATTTTCTGCCCTTGTTCTGAAGTAACTACACAGTTCTTTGTCTAATTTGCTTCTGCAGTATCATTCAGTTTTGCATTCCAAAATGTAGTATTTGAAGATTGCATTTAGCATATACTAACAACATGTGTTTTCTTTATACTTGCTCTTGTACTCCCTTTTAAACCAAATCTGTAAAAAGAATTATTTTAAAACTGGGACGACTTCAAAGTATTGAGTCATGTAGAAATAAAAAAAACAGCCCACCTTTGATTAGATGTGAATTGAAATTAAAAATAGCTTTGTATACCTCTGGCTCTAAATCATGAGATTATAGTCCCATGTGATATATGGGAGAAACCATGCCTCACCCAGAATGCTGTCAAACAATACTCAATACCTCACAGAGAATGCTGCCCTCTTTCAGCCTTTATGCAGGAGTCTGTTTTACTGCTCTTGCACTGCTTTTTAATTTGTAGGCCTCTTATCAATGTCTTACATTGATAGAGAATGTGGAAAAAATGCAAGAAATAATTAAAAATTATTGGTGTTGACACAAGGGTGGAAAAGGGTTCTTTAAATTGTGTATGAGTCAATAACTAAAAAAACAGTGATGAAGAGGGATGAAGGCAGTGTAACTTGATAGTGTGTTGCTCTCCACAATAATCACTAATGCTTGTCCGTAGAATGAAGTTTGGAAAAGATTTTGGGAGTGTCTGTGGTAAATCTGATCTCTCTGAGGTCTGCAATGGGGGAAGGCAGCACTTGAATTATTTTGGAATGAGAGCTCAGTTGGAACAAAAATGTGGCCCTTCTTCCTCATTCCCTAACTGTGTGTGGAATGCTTCTGTGGGGTGACTCCCCAGACCCTAAAAATGAATGTAGTTTTTTACTGACCCCGTTTGGGTTATGAGCACACTTCATGAAGTGAACAGTTTTGTGCCTTGAGAAGAATTCAGTTTAAGCTATCTGGTCGAGTAGTTTGAGGCCATTTTTCCTGCTGCTGACCACTTGGATGACGTTAAGAGGAAGTATGTTTGGTAATGTCTTATGCTGTTGTCAATGAAAGTTGCTATTTATGCCATCTGGGTTTCTGGGAGAAGTCTTTTACCTTTGAGAGGTAACTTTATTTTAATTCTACTTGAGTGTTCAGGTATGAACACCTAATAGGCACTGCTTTTGTTGAGAGCTTGGAAATAGTTATCCATCATTGTGTTTTTCCTTTAGCATCTTAAATTATTTAGGAGCTTCAGAGTGGTGTCTTAATTGCAGTAGGCTTATGAGGCACTTAAATACAGAAGTCTCATGTATAGCTTGTTTTAATTTTTTATTTCAAAATTGATTCAAGTGTCTCTAAATATGTTTTGTGCTGTGTGTACAGGCAAAGATTGATGTTAGAAAGCATAAAATATCAATGGATGCAGTTCTACTTCTCATATATATAGTGCGTCCTTCTGGGTCAGATATACTTGAGACAAGCAGCACAAAGGTGAAAACATGTGGAATGTATGGGCCTTTAAAAAAAACTTCTACATTCATTCATTAGAAATAGGTTTTTTTTTTTCCACTGCTAAATAATTTATTCAGTGTTTTCAAATAAGAAAAAATTTCCATTGCAGTATTTGTCATATACACTGAGATTTTTTGATAGTGTCTTCACAGACCTGTCTGAGAGTGAGATGCTCTCTTATTTGGCAGAATGAAGAACTTCACTTAGGATATATAA